AAGGAAGTTCTCTCCAATCATACTTTTAGCCAAGGCAGCTCCCATGTCCCTGTATGTAAACACCTTCAAGTGAACTCTTTTCATCATCCAATCTATGTTAGGTAGAAGGCACTAATTCAGGATATCAAAAGTACTGGCCTTACTTTTCTTAAGTCTTACAATTAAAATAGAAAGAGCAAATCAAGAAACATAATGTAGCATATCTACATCTGCCAACTAAAATTCAATTCAAGAAATATTTATGAGATACTCAAGTTATAAAATGCATACAAAGACCATTTCTATGCTCAAAGAACTTACCATCTAGCAGCAGAGACAAAAACAAGTCTATAAATCATTACATATGAGGTAGAATGTGGTAAATGCCCTGTGAGTTTTATAAGTGTAACATGACTAAAAGGTTCAGACACTTATTATTAATAATACATATTTAATAAATACATGACATATATGTAATATATCTGGTGTATATAAAAGATATATATAAAGATATAAATTGGGTTTGTTTATATGTTTGTATGTATATGTATATGAATATTCTATGTATACAGTCATTTCAGGAAATTGGAATAAAAAATTAGAGAAAAGGAAGAAGCCTGACTGGGGCTCCCAAATTTTCTTTTTGTTTTTTTTTTTCATCATCCCCTCCGTCATTTATTTGCTTGGGAGACTGAAGGACCTTAGAGAACTGGAGGGTTGATGGAAATCAGTTGTATCTCAGATCCAAACATTCCTTATCGAATTGTTTGGCAGAAATCCTTGACTCTGGTTATAATGACAATCTAACTTTCAAGAGATTTTTAGCACAGAGAATTTGGTGTTAGGGAACAAGAGTTAGTGGTTTAAAAAACAGATTAAATGTTTGTGGGTTCTACTTAGTTGGCTATGTCCTGAAAATTCTAGGCTTCCAAAAAGTAAGACTCTGCCTTTGGACAGAAAATCCACACACAGCTAAGTCTCTGGACACTGACAGACTTCTTTCCTTATAGAAAAAGGGTTTTTAAAGTTTCAGTGTCATGGACCTCTGGCAACTGGAGAAGCTTATGGACCCCTTCTCAGAACAAATCTCTCCCTACTCTAATCTATCCTTCATTTAATTGTCATAGTGATCTTCCTAATCACAGGTTTAACCATGTCACTCTCTCAACATCTGGGCAACTAGGTGGTGAAGTGGATAGAATGCTGGATCTGGAGTCAGGAAGATTCCTTACTTCCAATCTGACTTCAAACACTTACTAGCTGTGTAACCCAAGGCAAGTCACTTAACACCATTTGCCTCAGATTCCTCATCTGTAAAGTGAGCTGGAGATGGAAATGATAAACCACTCTAGTATCTTCATCAAGATAATCCAAAATGGGGTCACCAAGAGACAGACACAACTGGAAGATGACTAAACAACAAGAATAACAACCCCCAGCCCCATTCAATAAAATAAATTTTTTTTACTCACAACAGGAAATATTAAATCCCCAATTTGATGTTTAAAGTTCTTCATAACCTATTGACCTTTCCAGTTTTCTTATACCTGATCACTCCCCTATCCCCTCCACCCATTTACCCCAGTATTCTTTGATCTAATAACACTGACCTCTTTGATGTTATTCAAACAAAACTCTCATCTTCTGATTTTGGGTCTGTTTATCCTTTCCAATGATTGTCCTCCATGCAAAAAAAAATGTTCTCTTTCTGCCTCCTCGCTTTCCTGATTTACTTCAAGTCTCAGCTAAAATCCCACTTTTTACAGCCTTCCTTTGGCTGGTCATTTCCATGTATCTTGTATGTAGTTTGTTTGTACATAGCTATTTACATGCTGTTCTCACTAGATTTTGAGCTCTTCAAAAGCAAAGACTGTCTTTTACTTTTCTTTGTGCTCCCATTCCTTAGCCCAGGGCATGGCACTGAGTTTGTGCTTAATAAATGTTTATTGACTGCTTGATTGACTCAAAAGCATAGTATGAAACACACATGATTGCAAATAAAAACAATTATATAAAAATAAAAATTTAATATTTTCTCCATTCAAGTTTGTGGGTCCATTCAAGTCTGTGGGGTCTCTGTACTTCGGTTAGTGACTTCTCTTACAGACAAGAACCAAATAAAAGTTTTCTTTCTAGTTTGAGGACCAAGTATAGAAAAGTTCTGCCTCTCTCACTGAAAGGGTTACAGCCTCAATTTCTGATCTGAGTATTAAAACACATACAGCAGAGCTTCTTTTTTGGAAAGGGGGAACACCTCATCTGAGGACTCTAGCTGAAGCTCAGAAGGTAGAAGCAGAGAGCTCTGCAACCATATTGTAGCTGTGATGCTGTGCATCGACTAGGAGACTGGAGGGAGCCACACCAGGGAATATAGGACACTCCCCCTTTACCCAATTTCTTTAGCAACAGCTATAGCTAATAATCTCTCATAATCCTAATGACAGAGTAGCTGGAAATGGGAAGGTGCCAAGCAACAGCACAAAAACAAAAAGCAAAAGCCTTCCCTGAACATCCTTACTTCCCCCCTTCCCACTCTGGATCCCTCTGCCTCTCATCCCCTCCTTCTGCCATCATCACTCTTAACTCCTCACCTTAAGCTTATTTCCAAAAAAGGCACAGAAAGCTATTAGAAAAATCAACCTTGGACTGAGGCTAAATAGTATTAGCCTCTTGTGCAGATTGCATATTTCTAGTTCTTAATATTGTTATCTATAATGAAAGACCTTAGCTTAAAAAGGTCAAAGTCTCTCACTGCATCTGGGGTCATCTCCAGTTGTCCTGACCTATGTCTTGCCATTGAACTCAGATAACTTTGGAGGAGAGAGTGAGGCTGATGACTTCGCACAGCCCTGCCTCACTTAAATCCAATTCATTTGCAAGTCAGCACATCGTGTTCCTGGTATCTATTGGTCTTCTTCAAGAACAAAGAAGAAACAACAATAACAATAGGTAATATTGCTTTTCTTCAATGGGCATCAATTCCTATGAATATTAAAAGTAACTGATATTTATGCTGGAAAATTGCAAGAACAACAAAAAGTTGAACATTCAACCTTAAGGTTAATTCCAAGAATGAGGTAGGAAAAGAAAGCCTGTCTCCACAAGTTCAGAGCATTCTGTTTTCTTTGTGACCTTGCTACAAGTATTTCTCTCTTCCTGATGTTGCTATGAAATGTTTCTCTCCTAGTGGATCTGCCCACACTGATCCCAATTGCTTTTATCAGTGAACAGGCAGGAACTAGCAGCCAATTCCCGTTCTATGACATGACAATTTATTGTATGTTGAGTTTTTGAAATATAGTTTCATTTTATATTTTCCCTATATAGCATAATTTTAAAAGTACATCATAAAACGGCATATTTTTCACTTCTTTCTCAACATCTAAGTTCACAGGCTTACAGAATTGTAGGAATTCAAATTTGTAAGGAACTAACAAATCTCCATACGATCTTTGCTTGAATACCATCAAGGAAGTGGTCCACACTTCTTCTGATGACAGGCCAGTTCACTTTTGGAAGGCATTAATTGTTAGGAAGTTTTTTCTTACATTACATGGATGTTATACTTCACTTGCCTCATTGCAAAGTCTACCCATAGCATCTAGTTCTTCCCTTTGGAGTCAAAGTAACTGGGTTTGAACTATACCTCTAGTGACCTAGAACAACGTGACTTTGAGCAATTTCACTCAACCTCACTGAGCCTCATTTCCTCATCTGCAGAATAAGGAAATTAGACTAGGTAACCCTGAATGTCTTTTCTTCCAGCTGAAAAAGTCACGGTCTAAGATTTTGTAACATCCAATCCTTCTTCCACGTGACAGGGATTCATACCTAATACGAGTCTACTATATTATCTTCTCTTAGCTAATTGTTTCTTGCTCAAGGGCTTTTTAATCTGGGCCCATGAATTTGTTGTTGTTTTATGTTCTGATAATTCTGTTTTGCTATGATTGGTTTCTTTTGTAAGTATGTATATTATCTGATGTATTTAAAAAAATTATTCTGAGAAGGGATCCGTAGGCTTCACCAGACTGTTAAAGGGGTCAAAGAATTCTTGTGCTAGTTTCTTTAATAAATCCCCATAAACAATGAACACAAGCTCCATTCTGTCTGCACTCTTATCAAAGCTTTCTAGTTAGTTAATTTCCTTTCATAATAAATCAGAGTACTATGGAATTTTTGTATTATCAGTTATATAATTGTAGCCATTGTTTTCTAGAACAGTTGGACAAATTTACAGCTCCATGGGCACTGTGAAAGCTTGACAGACTTCCCAAATCCTCCTCAACATGAATTCTGTTCATTGTCTGTCAACTTTGCTCATCTAATAGCTGTGAGGTGAAAGCTCAAAGATGTTTTGCAAAGTTTCCATTCCTCTTACTGATAATATGAAGAAGATAGTGAGGAAGAAAAAAGATTATGAAGTAAGAAGGTTAAGTTCTAATGTTCCATACCTTTGCATGTAAGATCTTCAGCTAACTGCAGTTTTAACCTTCATGCTTCTAAATCTTTGCAGTTGTTAAGAATAAAAATCCTTTCAAAAATGTCAAAACGGGTTTTTTGTGCTGATTGTTGAGAGCTATTTTGCTAAAAACTAAACAAATGCTTTGTCTACTGTCGTAATCAAATTCCAGTGGAGAGGAAATCTGGGTTCCAAGAAGGGGTTAGTGGCAATGAGTAACTCACAGGGAGATCTAGCCACTCAAGTCATAAGATTTGCTGGTAGACACACATTGGAAACACAGGATTATAGGATGATAAGAAAACACATTTAGGTGTCAGGAAAATGTATCAGGAATGGAGAAACACAAGGAACATATCATCATAAGAGAACTGATTTAGATCGATGTTTTCTTTTTCTAGTGAAAATTGTTTGTTTCTTATCACTACATAAAGATTATTTATTACTAGTATAATATCCAATACTACATTTAAGGCAGTCAAAAGCCTGCTTTTTTATACTAAGAAAGACTTTGTTTGAAGCTTTCTCAGTCTCTTTGTGATCTACAAAGGAGAAAAGCTTAAGTTAATGGAAAGAAGGCCACAATAATCACCTTGGCAGACAAAACTGAAAATAAGACAACTGGTACCAAAACACTTCAAAAAATTATTCATCTTACCTAATGCTTCACTATAAAACTGCTCCCAAATTATGTCATATAAATGGAGGTAGTAGTCAGAGAGGAGAGACAAGAGCATATTCTTTACTCTTTCCATAAAGGTCATCTTGTCAGTCAGTTTGCCCATGGGCATGGGTACATAGGAAAGAGGAGAAGGAAGTCCCCCATAGAATTTCTCATAGGTGTTCCCCATGCTCCACCTGAGACTATTTATGAAAGGGATTTCAAGCATCTCAGCTATCAGATCTCCACATGGAAACACAGCATCTGCAAATAGCACATCATAGCCAGTTTTTTGCAGTTTCTCCATGAGTGTCTGGTTGAAAACTACAGCTTCACATAATGATTTCATTTCAGTCATAAATTTCCCCATCATTTCATGAAATTTCCACATGGTTTTCCACTGTGAAAAATCATTGTTTTGGTTAACCATCTCATCCAAAAAAGTTTCCATTTTACTCCTCACTTCCTCTTCTGTAGCCGACACAGGAAAAGCTTCATAGTTCAGGCTGGAGGAGTCAGTGGGATCAATGAGAATCGTAGCAGAAGGCACTAACACAGTCACCATGTTACCCCTTTGTGCCAGCTCTTCAAGAACTATTTTCATATTAATCCAGTGGCTATATTCCAATGGCCATGCCAGGACCTTCCCACAGGACCCACATCCAAAGCAGCAGAACTGCAGTAGCAGCAGAACAGAAACCCACTTTTCAAACATAGTGCCTGATCCTGATGCCTTCTATCACACTGCACTACTGCTCTTTCAACACAGGTAAATCAATGGAAAAGTTAAAGATTAAACTCCGTAGGGAATTCTACCACTCTTCTCCTCCCACTGACAACACACACTTCAATTTTCCTCAGTGAACTTTGCCTATCAATTAACAATATTTTCAAAGCCCTTGACAGTTGGGCTGTGCTAAGTGAATTTGTAGGCAGAAGCCACAAATTCAGAATATGAAAAAGTATGATCCCATCCTTCATAAATCTTAGAATTGAAATAGAAAGAGCCAATATATGCTCATGAAACAAACCAAAGAACACAATGCAATATAACAAAACCTGCTAATTAATTCAATTCAGTTCAAGAAATATTTATGAGACACTCTGCTGAGTTTCAACAACCATTCAAACTATGTTGTAAATATTTATAATCTAGTTTTGTTCAGTCATTTCAGTTGTGGCCAACTCTTCATGACCCCATTTGGGATTTTCTTGACAGACATACTGGAGTGGTTTGCCATGTCCTTCTTCAGCTCATTTTACAGATGAGGAAACTGAGGCAAACAGGGTTACATGATTTGTCGAGAGTCACACAGCTAGTAAGTATCTGAGGCTGAGCTTAATCTTAGGTCTCCCTGACTCCAAACCTAGCTGCCTTTTAAAAAAAATAAGCATTGTATTGATATACATTGATATAATTATATTATTGATATAATTATAGAATTGTTGTCAACATGGTTAAGTTTACAGTTTCCTAATACTAAACAAACCCTTCCTTCCTGTTATAAATCCAATTTGATGATAGTATGCAATCTTTGTGATGTTGTTTTAACCTTTTTAGTAATATTTTATTTAAAGAATTTTGAAATGGGGCAGCTAGGTGGCAGAGTGAATAGAGCACAGGCCCTGGAGGACCTGAGTTCAAATCCAACCTCAGACACTTACTAGCTGTGTGACCTGGGGCAAGTCACAAGTTTATGTATCAAGACCATATCTGTGTCATAGGAGGCATTTGGCAGAAACCATTCTATTGCTCTTTTTGCAAGCAATTTATATAATACTGGAATCATTGTTCTTTGAATGTTTCATAGAATTTACTTGTGAATCCATCCGGTCCTTCCTACTTTCTTGGAAATTCATTTATGACTTGTAAAGTTTCTTCCTCTGAGATCGAATCATTCTCTCTTTTTTTGTTCTATTCATTTGAGTATTTTGTATTTTTGTAAATATACATTCGTTTAATCTAGGTTGTCAGTTTTATTGGCATGTTGTTGGGCAAAGTAATTTCTAGGAAGCTAGATGGTTCAGTTGTTAGAACACTGGACCTGGATTTGAGAAGAACTGGAAATTAAGGAGATAGCCAGCAATTGAGGACTGACTGCACAAGTTACGGTATATATGCGTGATGGAACACTATCGCATTATGCAGTAAGAAATGAAGAAATAGATGATTTAAAATACATATGGAAAGACATGTAAACTGATCCAGAGTGATATTCTTCCAGACCAGAAGAATAATTTATATTAAATTAATATTATAAAAATGAAGAATGAAATGAGGAAAACTAGGTGAAAATTTATACTAACAATACTATAAAAACAAACAACTTTTAAAGCTGCAAGAATTATGGTAAATACAATGTTCAGTAATCTTTCAGTTATGTCCGACTCTTTGTGACCCCATGTGGGGTTTTCTTGGCAAGGATATTGGAGTGGTTTGCCATTTCCTTCTCTAGGTTATTTTACAGATGAGGAAACTGAGGAAAACAGGGTTAAGTGATTTACCCAGGGTCACATAGCTAGGAAGCATCTGAGGCCAGATTTGAACTTGGGAAGATGATTCTTCCTGACTCCAGGACCAGTGCTCTATCCACTGAGCTGCCTAGCTGATCATCCATGATTCCAGAGAACAGATGACAAGAAACATGCTATCCATTATAGAGAAGTGATGAATTGAGGGTGCAGAATGAAACATTTTTGTATACAGCCGATGAAAGAATTTGTTTTCCTTGAATGTACCTATTTGTCACATAATTTTTTTCCTTTCTTTTTCCCAATGGGCTTGGGGTTTAGTGGTAACTAAAATAGATCTCTGTTGATTTTTTTAAATAGAGAGGTGGGGGTATGCTACAGATGTGAAATGTTGTGCACACATTTAGATTAGGTCACTACATATTAGATTTACTTAACTGTTTTACATTGTTACAAGAGACTTTTCACAAAGTGGGAGTACTCTCTCAATGTTTGTAATGTAAAAATAAAACACGTCAATAAAATTTTTATATAGTTTCCTTTTCTTATAGAATTTTCATTAATGAGATTCTATATGTCCTTCATAATCTTTTACAATTTGCTCTTATCAAATCAAGAGTGTATATCAGAGAATTGCTAATCTTTTTCACAAAATCAAAGATAGACAATAGACACTTCCCTATCATTTTCATCTCAGCAACAAGTTCCTTTTTTTTTTTTTTTTTTTTGGCTGGGCAATGGGGTTAAGTGACTTGCCCAGGATCACATAGCTAGAAAGTGTTATGTGTCTGAGGCTGGATTTGAACTCAGGTCCTCCTGAATCCAGGACCAGTGCTCTATCCACTGCACCACCTAGATGCCCCTACAAGTTCCTTCTTGATGTTAAGAATCACAGCCAGAATTGAATTGGTCCTGGTTGGTTCTGTTACCTATTAAAGGGTGAAATTAAGAGAAGTCAAGACATTGTTACTTTTGACAGAGAAGATCTAGGAGATGTATGAATAATTGAAGTTAATTTAAAATGAATGATTTATAAGTTTTCAAAACTGTCTAATGCTTCTCTCCTCCAAAACTAATAATTCTCTCCTCCACTTTCTTTTCTCCTCTATTTTCCCCCATTAGATCGCTGACATTTTTGAGAAAAAGATACTTGTCCAAAGATGTGGACAGATTTATAGTGCAACATTCCCTTGAAAAGTGGTATAAGTCACAAACAATACAACCAGATTTTGCAAACAGACTTGCATCCAGCATAAAAATACCTTCCACATCACTCTGGTATGTATGAGGCTATTGAGTGAAGGAGCCTTTTTTGCATTGAATTATAAGGGACTGCATAGAAGCAGAGAAATTTATGGGGTTTTTTTTCGGTAGGAATTAAGTCCATAATGAGATTATCCAAGAATGTAACAAATATTATGATTACAGAGAATAAAACAGAACTGTAAAAATGTGAAAATCACTTACATACAAGAATAAGGTTAGGACAGACAGATATGCAAGGTTCAGGGTCAGCATGTGCTACGTAGATATTAAGGACAAACTACAACCAAGAGTGAAAATGATCTCGGGGATGAAAATGTGGTACAGCATAAAAGAGTATTAAATTTATAGCCATTTTCTTCATCTCTAAAAAGAAGGAGTTGTACTACATATGAGAAACCCTTCTAAGGCATTTTGCAGCTCTAAAATCTATGGGATAGAGATTTGTCCTGTGATTTCATTGCCATAAGGCTATTCTGCATGAGTAAACATTCTCTATGAATTCATTTTGCTACCTTCTCTTCTTAAGACTTAGAACATTGTCTAGAGGAGGAGTTGAGTGATTTACAAAGAGTCACATGGGCAGTAATAATAACAATAATAGCTACCATTTATATAGAGTCTACCATATGCTAGACACTGCACTAAACACTTACAAATATTATCTTATTTGATCCTCTTAACAACCTTGAAAGAATAGTGCTATTATTATTTCCATTTTACAGTTGAGGAAACTGAGGCATACAGAGTTTAAGTGACTTGCCCAAGGTCAAACACCTAGTAAATGCCTGAGGTCAGATTTGAATTCACATTTTTTTCCCCAAAATATAAGCCTAGATTTCTATCCATTGCCCTCAGTATGTGTTAGCACAGTATTTGAACCATAGTATTTCTGGTTTTGACATCAACACTTAATCCACTATGCTATCCTCTCCACAACACTCTGAAATTTGAGTCTCCAAGGAGCAAGAATTTTTTTCACTCATTGTAAATTCAAGTCAAGTTCCCTGATGCCCTGTTCTTTACATGCAATCTCTCAAGGTTCCCATTGAGTCATAGGACTGTGCTCAATGCCTCAAGTCCACTAAAGAATAAGAAACAGTTCTGACCTAAAATTCTGCTGTGCTATTCGTTCCCAAGTGGGGATATAATGTACCAATAGCACCAAATATATTGAATCACTACAAGTGTAAGAGAGTCAATTCATCATCCTGTTATCAAAGGACAGCTCATCCATTTGCCCTGATGTACTGGCAGGAATAAATGGAGCAGCTGGAAGTCCTCAAGGTGGATGGCCTCGCCTGTGTGTTTCCATGAGAAAATCAAATGGGGCACACAAGTGGAATATCGAGTAACTGTCACTAGGTCCACAAGGGGCAAAGAAGCACATCAAACCCAACTTCCTGAAGCCTCCCTAACAACATCTCATCAACACAGCACTGTCACACACTTCTTTTGTTTTATGTGTTTAAAGTCAACAAACGCTTCTGAGAGTCTTAGTGGTACCTGCCACCAGGACAGAAATTCAGAAGAGGCCACGTAAGGCATGGCATACAGTTCAGCAATCAGTTTCATTTTAACTGTGGCAGAGTGAGCACTTCAACCTTAAAAGGAAGGTGGGTAGGATCAAGGAGACTATTTGGTGAAGGCAGTGGGACAGTGATTCCATGGCCTGGTAGCTTGAGTTCTCCCAGAATGATACTGATATGGATCCAGTGACTAAAATCCACAGGCCTGACAAGCACTTTTCCACATTTTGTAGGTGCAAAGCAAGACAGCTGAAGCAGGAAAAGATCCTCTTTTGAGTCCTCGTGAGTTTCCCTTTTGCTTCCTTTACACCCACAATGAAGTGAATGCCTAAATCCAAAGAGTATTGAAGAGAATTATTTCACTTGTGCTAAGTCTCAAGTCCTTGAGAGGATGTTGGCCTAAACTACAAGCAGTGTACTTAGAACCTATTGAAAGCCAATAAAACTGTACCCTACCCT